TTTTCATAGCCCATTCAGTTAATTGTTAATTTCTAAATATTATACTGTTACTATTCGGGTTATAACTTGGGACAATTAGTAGACAGCATAGTTTGAATTGAGTCTTAAGTATTGACTTTTATTTTCAGCCGTCCCTTAGTTGAAGATGTTCATTTTCATGTCTTCTTCTTGATAAGAGTACTAACTGTGAAATAACTAATTAACATGTTATCATAAGAATTAATGAAGTCGCTAATCATTTATTTATTTATTTCAAATGGCAGGCGTTTTGATAGTTATCATTAGCCATTTAGCTGACTTTGGGCTTCACAGAGAGGGGGAGGAACATTAAAGTGACAAAATGTCGAGAGGGGGGGGGGACAGAATAATGATTCACAGATGTAACAGAAACAGACAAACAGACAAAAAGGCAGAGAAAAGGTAAGATGAGTACTGTTAAAGTAGTCAAATATGACATACAGTATGGTGATGGTAGTTTGAAGTCTGAAGTCAACTGCCTGTTAATAGAGGGATCATGGTAGTTTGAAGTCAACTGCCAGGTAATTGACGGGGTAGTTTGAAGTGAGAAGTCAACTGCCAGTTAATATAACGAATATGACATAGAGAAGTCAACTGCCAGTTAATAGATCATGGTAGTTTGAAGTCTGAAGTCAACTGCCTGTTAATAGACTTTTTTGCGGTATGAGTATACGTTGCCCAGGGTGCACCACGTGAAGGCAAGTCTATCGCACACCCCAAGTCGCTAATCATATTTGTAATTGCAGAGATTTGACCTCTGCTGAGAGAGAAATCTCGAAAGAAAGTTTTTAAGATAATTTCTTGTGAAATAGCGAATTTTGAGACCAAAGACGAAGAGGTTATTTTCTTCGCAATGCTTCCCTTTTCCTGGCCATCTAGCAGAACATTAGGATTGATCTCTGCCTAGATTTGAAAGTTGACCCTGTACTGATTTGTCATTCACGAAACTAGATTACTTGAGACACATTCCACGATAGGGAAAAGTTATAGTTCAACATCTAAATGCCGAATCGAAGCACTGGAGTTATTTTAAATATCTTGAGTTCTGAAGTTAATTTTACAGTGTATCCTAATTTTTGAGTTGGGTAGCATTTTATTAAATACATAACTAATTAATAATATAAGCGACCTCAAAAGTTCCTGTTTTTGTGGTCAATCTTGATTTCTGTAATGCCGAATCTTCGCTCTAATACCAATTAACGCAAAACTACAGGCGATTTTGAATAAATTAATATTTTATTGAAGGTGCAATTATTTCGGGAATTTCTTGACCACTGGAAGACCATCTTCTTAAATGCCTTTCTTCATTCCTCCATTTTTGACATCCGTAGTAGGGGTCATCTCCCACAACTAAGTGCGATCTAGAGATATTGTGAAGCCTACAAAGTGCCTGTCTATTTGGGGGTTTCTATGTGGGTGAAGGCGAGATTCTGAGGGGAGGGAATCGGTTTGACAGGATTGATGTGGGGATTAGTAGTACCTAATAGTAAATTATATCTCCCCCCCCCTTAACCGCTTCAGCTCGCACATTTAGTAGCGGGGCTTTTAAACACTCGTACACACACTCACCCCTCCTCTTACCAATAAATTTATGGGAGTTGGCGTTTTCCCCTGATTCACCACAAAGCAAAGCCCGGTGGCGAATTCGGTGGGTAGTTAATTCCTTTCTTTATTTGGGTTCTCCCATGTCTCACCTGTTTTCAGGGAAATTTGTAAACACACCTGCTACTTATCGCCCCCCCCCACCACTTACACCGTTCCTCATCTTTGTCCACACCTTCCCAATAAGATCGAGCATTTATTTGTATCTGCCTATTTATTTAACAGAAGAATAACTGACCAAATATGCATTAGGAAATTGATTGTTACCCAACTAACAGCGGTTGCCCAAATCTCCTTGATTCTGCCTTGCATTACTATCCCCTTTGACGTAGCATTTCGCGGGCATGTCCTAACATCATCCCAAATAAGCCAGGAAGAATGGAGAGTGGGAAAGCGAATTATCCCCTGGGGGGAAGAGCGCAATGAGCCAGCAAAGTGGTAAATTAGGATAGCACGCAAAAGAAGAGAAAAAAAACTCTCCAATGTGAGCATAACCGGCCACCCCCAGTCTATTTCAGGGCAAAAGACGATTGATTGGTCGGTTGGTTCTTTTTTCCTTAATTAAATCATGCAACTTGAGAAATAAATTTAATTAGGAACGCCATCAGTGAATAGGCGTAAGCTAAAAGAAAAAAGATTATTGGGGGGTGGGGGAACATTGATACTTTTCTAAAAATGTCCCATCGAAGGGGGCTAAAGGATGGCTCTGACGATTCTGCTGCTTTCGTGTCCTGTGGGCTAATTCCCACCTGTCAAACTAACTAATAAAATACACATGATCAATAGAATCCGCCGTCCCCGAGGGAGCGAGTAATAAAAAGACATCGACTCGGGGACGAGAAAGCCATGTTCAGACTCAAATGCTAATAAAAATAATCATGATTGGTGGGGATGTGGGGGGGGGGAGGCATTCATGGTTGCGTGTGAGTGCGCATATGTATATAAGTAAGTCCTCAGTCGTAGGGAGGAAGAGACGAGAATTAGAGATAGTCTTCGCAACTCCCTAGAGCGATTTTTCGACTGTGGCGCTAGATCACTAAACAGTGATAAGTTATCGCGCCAGCGTCCACTCTCCTCGTCCAACCTATTTCTTCCCCACCACCCCGCTTTCAACACGAAAATTGTACGCACTCCCCTGATGACTGCTAGTCCAATGCACCTCTGAGAAACCACTAACTAGGCTAACCAGCTTTTCCTTTACCACCACACTCACCATCTCGAGTTGATGATTTATCTCGCAAGTCGCGTGGCCATTACGTTAAGAGCACACCAGCTTATGCATGCATTTGTTATCTATATGAATAAGTAACCGCATAAAAGCGGATTATCCCCTTTCGAGGCGATATTAGTATGTGAAAAAGCACACCTTCCAATAGGAAACACCTGCTAAACTCGGGTGTTAGATGTGGATCAATTTGTCATATTGGGTTGCTATGGCGTATTAAATAGTGACTCCCTAGATTGGTAATTGATGCATACTAGGATCTCTGGAAGTGATAAATGTGGGTTTAACGGGAAAAGGCTCTAAAGGCGCGCATTTGCATGTCTGACTTGGCGTGTCGAAGAGAGCAGGTGGATGCTTTGACACGGATTTTGGAGGCGAGAGAGTCTAGACATCATCCTCCCTTTTCGCATGGTTGTCATCCCATAGGTTTAGTTCATTTATTAAATGACCCCAGTCTCCCGTGTGAAAGATTATCGCCAGGACAACTAAAGGCACCTTCCCTCTGTAAAGGTTTGCATTCACTAACTCTATTTCACCAACTGAGAATTCTCGTTGAACTTTTATTTCCTAACTAGGTTTGTGAATGGTAGGATATACAACCTTCAATACCACATTTTCAGGCGAAAGTCAAAGATTTCCACAATGTTCAAGCGGTAACTTTAAAACCCGAACTTCAAGTTGTTTAGGTTAAATGGTTTAGATGTTCAGAAATTTCTAATTACTTAAAACATTAGTAAACACCGAAGGTAGCTTACACCTAGAGGATGATGCCTACCTCATGTCGAAGGTGTCAATCTTCATCCCAATATACGTTTTTATTAGGAATAGTTAGTAATTACCTCCTCTAGCGCTTTCATATATTTTACCAGGCAGTTGAAAATCTTATCCAAAGGGTATGATTTCACAGACAAGGAAAAAAAGCGAAAGCGTGACTTTTTGAACCCTTCAATTTGACGTTCCAGCCATCCAAATGTAGCACTCTCATCTTAATAGGAAAAAAATGAGCGGAAGGAAAAACTCGCCAAAATCTCCCTCTTCTACTCTTTTTTTTTAATACTTATCAAATAAACTGGACAAGTCACAATTAGCAGACATCCAATCCACGGTTGAATGCATGATCAAAATATTCCATATTATTCAAGCACTAAGGGCAGATGTATTATTTCCACAATTTGGATGCCATTGTGCAGATTGTTTTTCCTCAAGAGGTCGAGTTTTTGCCGCCACACGTTTCTCTCACCTCTTAAAAGTTGTCTACGGGACAGTTGTAAGAGCAAAAGTCAGTCGTTCCTTCAGTCTGCACCCAGTGTGCAGGGTGTGGGTAGATTCAAGGTTTTATGTATTGCGTGAAGTGTGACTGAAGTACATGGGGGAAACAATTTAATTGAACAGAAGTAGCAAAAGGAGTGAGATAATGCCAACAAGCAGCAAAAATCATTCGGGCTGCGGCTAACATAAAAGCCCTCGAAAAAACTACAGGAAGAAGGAAGGATAGATCCTGCTATCGGTAGCATTTCAGCAAATGGTGATTTTCGTTGATGGGCGAACAAATTCTAATTGGGTTTGTGTGGGGGGGGGGGAAGGGAGTTGGGCCCTTGAGGGAGGCAGATGACCAAGGGCACTATAGAGGTGTTTGGGAACATTTCCCCAGTGGAGAAACTAATTCCAATTGAAACGACCCGGACTCCTTTTGGTTTGTTAGTTGTCCGTTTCCTTGTTTTATACGTGCGATGGGCATATAGTTCGAGCTTTACGAAATATTTTCAAAAAAACTCTTAACCAGATGAGATGAGCATACCTGGTTCTTTTTGTTATGTTACATTATTGTAGAACTCCAATTTTCACTATCAAATTAAAATATGATGCTTGATGTTATTATTACGACTTACAATAATTCAATTAAGTGATTTTTACCGTCAACTCGTCATGAACACAGTGTTTAAGGAGTTGCAGCTAATCATGTTTATTATAAACGTTATTTAGACACGGCACTTATAACTCCAAAAGTTATGATTGGTGGCATAAAGGAAGATTATTGATTAAATGTTTCAGTTTTCAGTTTCATATACACATCTCATTACCAAGCCAATTGTTGCTTATATTTACCCTCTTGGTGTCTTTCTTTTGCACTTTAATGAAGTAACAACCAACAACAATGATCATATCAGCGGGAATTACAACTTCCCTTATCTTGGTTCTTTCATTGTTGTTGACGAGTGGAGATGTTCGGTGTGAAGTCATTGAATTGCAGATGGGAGAAGAAATGCCCTTGGGATCAGTGATCGCAGATTTGAGACCTCTCATTTCAAAGGGTGGCAAGCTCGCCTCCGATTCCCAATGGGTCACATTCAAATCAGCCGGTTCTGATGATATTGGCAATCGGCTTGTTGATGTAAGTTAGCCTTATTGTAATATGCCATAATTATTAAAAAAAACTAATCACATATCACAAAGAATGGACATAATTATTCTTTTAATGTGAAAACCCAATTCTTAAGTGCATAGCATAAAAATATCCCTTCACTGTTCAATTACAATGAATGTTTATTGGCATAAACCATAAATAGGCACTGTGAAAAGTATTGAATGTTTCGATTACTTAGTGAATTATCGATATGCCAGTTAGGAAGCCACTTTAACGCTAATTCTTCCATTTAAGTAAGTAAAAGCAACTACATTCAGTGTTGAAAATGTCAAGAAGTTCTCCATTGGAAATTAATTTTTCTTCATTAAGTTAGAGATTAAAGCTGAATAGACTCTTTGTTACCACCATTGTCAGAACACACTGTGTTGAAATTCAACATTGTATGATGAAACACAAATGACATTTCCGTTTAAACTGCTCTAGTTTACAATTTAGAGTGCAGCATCGGAAAGCATCTTTTAATGATTAAATTGTAATTCAATTTAGGTCTCACCGGAAGGCAAACTACTGGTTAGCCACCGGATCGATAGAGAGAAGTTATGCCCGCTCTATCCACTATCTATGCTTCCAGGATCTCAACCAAGTTTCGGAGGTACTCTACCAGGAACTTTTAGTCTCCCGGGTCAATCTGGATATTCAATGAGCCTAGGAAGTGGCGAGCATTGTGCTTTCACATTACGAGTTGCAGTTATTGAAAAATCTGAGACAACTAATCCCTTGCACATATCGAATATCTATCAGATTAGAATTATGGTTTTAGACGTTAATGATCAGGCTCCATTTTGGCCCGAGAATCTGCAACGCCATGTGATTGAATTTAGAGATGGAGACCCACCTGGCAAAAGGCAGTCTCTCCCTCTTGCTATTGACCTAGATCAAGGGGAGAATGCTCGAATCTCCTACACTCTTGAACAAGATCCTTCTGATGATACTTCATCAGATGGATGGAATTCTACGCCTTTCAAACTAATCCATGACCATGCAGAAGGAAGTATTTATCTCCAAGCTGAACGAGAAATTGATCACGAGGTTGCCAGTTCACATAAACTTATTCTCAAGGCTGTTGACGGCGTGGATAAAAGCATCCCTGATTCAATGACGTCTGACAGATATCTTTATCAGCATACTTCAACTCTTGCTCTCACAGTTGTTGTCCAAGACATCAACGATAATGATCCAAAGTTCACGCAACCCGTATTTACCCCTGATCGTTCCGTATCAGAAGCAACGCCAGTTAGTTCGGTTATACTACGATTAAAAGCAACTGATGCTGACTCAGGTGAGAATGGAAACTTTCACTTCGGATTCGCGCCAAATGCCGGCTGGAGATCCACTGACATGCTTGCTCAATATCTCTTTGATGTGCGACCAAATGGCAATGTGGTTGTGAAAAACCCCCTGGATGTTGACAAGCAATGGAAAATTGTAGATGATTTGAAAAAGGGCTCGAACCAAGTTCTTTACAGCGGTGATAATTCCAGGGGCATGGAACTGAGCTTCAAAGTGGTGGTGACGGATGAAGCGGACCCACGATATGCTAGATCCTCAGAATCAACCGTAAATATCTTCGTTATGGACGAGAATGATGAGGCCCCAACAATTGAAGTAATGCGACCTACCACATCTAGTGAATGCGTCAAATCCCTTGGCAAGCCAGCCGGAATACCAAGTGGAAGATCGACACCTCAAACCTCATTTGCCTGTGTCTTTGAAAATGCTCTCATTGATACTTTCGTGGCTACTATACAGGTAATCAATTTTAGTAGAGTTAAGCTTTAGCCATTAGCCAGTCTTATATATATTGGGGGGGGGGGGGGGGGGGGGG